AAGAGCGGGTAAAAGCTACGACCTGGAGCATATCTATCAGGAAAAAAAAAAAAAAATGGTTTTATCGGAGTCACCCAGATCTGTGATGTTTAATGTCTAGCTCCCAGTGTGTAGAGCAGATCGAGAGAAAACTGTTACTGTGCAGAAGCATCTACACTGTCTCAGGCTTTTATTTAATCATAACCACTTCAGTACATAGTGAGCATTTTGCACATGTATGACCTCTACTTTTAATCCTTTGAAACTACTCACATCAGATCAGGTTGATTTAACAGTAATAACAATGATAAGAATTCAACTAAAGAACTTTACTCGTCCATGAAAAGAGAGAGTACAACACACACAGGTCGTGTAGTGAAAGAGATGTTCTGGGATGCTGGGACAAAGCCAAAGGATAGGCAATAGTAAAGCCTAAAGTACTAAAACTTGCAAGTTGTTAACTAAAAAAAAAAATAAGTCTCAAACCCAACTGTAGGCAAGAATCAATTCATTCCTTCCTGTTAAAGCAGAAGAAAAAAAGTTTTTTACTTCAAGAAGCATAAGCAATCTCTTTCTCCTAGCCTGTAAAGCTTAGTGCTTTTTTGAAATTTATTGTTATGAGAGAGAGAAAGAAGTTGTTTCTCATGGATATTGACTTGTGCATTAAAGTTTTTATTGTCCTAAATTCAAGGGGAGGAAATGTATCATTAATCATTTCTACGTAGGACTGTTTTGGGGAACAGATCTTTCCGTCCTGTTAAACGTGAGTGTCCTCTGTAAATACGCTGATATGAAATGTGTGATTTGCTCTCTTCTGCAATGTACACTTCTGTAGATTATATGCAACAGGGAGCAGCAGCAATCCTTATTCTTTACTCCATGCAGAGTGAAAATGTCAGAAGTTACACATGAACTAACTACATCCAATAAAGCATTTGCCTTTTTCGAAAATGCAAGCATGGTATGTTTTGAACATCGTAACATAAGCTTGAAATTTTTAAATGCAAAGAAAAATTTGGCACATAATTTATTGCTTTTTATGCATCCCACGCAGCAAAATGACTTAATAAAAAGCCTTTTACAGGTATCCTGTGTAACGCATATTTTGTATCAAACCTAGAGAATTAAGTAATAATGGTTATTTTTACTGTACAGGTAAGAAAGGTTGTTGATAAAGCAGTTCTACTGCAGAAAAATAAGAGCTGGCCATGTTTGTTCTACTACAGTTCTTGTAAACCAGCTCATACTGATGTTTTCCCTTCATTTTTGTATAGTCTCTGCCAAAAAAATAAAAAAGGAACTTTTGACATGTCCACTCCACCATGTCCTATTCAAGTTACAGGAACTTGCTTGCCCAGATGCTTCACACATATTTTGTCTTAACTGTTAAATTAATACGATGTCTTTTTTTTTTGTAATATATATTTAAGATTTGTAATAAAAATGAAAACATGGTTTCACACAAAGAATAGAGAAGTTTGTAATTACAATGGAACTTCAACGTGCATCCACAATACTATGTTCTTCTACATCTTTTCCCCTCCCAAGCCACACACCAACAGTTCTACTCTTCGCCCCGTTTCACATGTAGCTTTAAAACAGCCAGTTGTGTCAGCTAATATGCTAGTGCTTCGCTTGTGATGCTGTGTGATTTAAAAGTCTCAAACTGCAAACCATACACAAACTGAAAGCCCTTTCTAATTAAGAAAAAGGGAAAATGTTAATAATGTAGTAAGAGAAAATTTAGTCCTAGTACTCCCTCAGTTGAACCCAACAAATTACATAGTGGACTACATCTACTGTGAATGGGCTTTCCGACTCTTAAGCATGATCAAGAGATGTCATTTCACATTAGAACATCCTGAACTGTATTTTATTTTTTTTACGCTATCCTCAACATCCATCACTAAAACTGTCTGTGGTTTTCCATAATGCCTATCTAGTTCGTGTTTCAGTGCACATCCTTACCAAGATGCTAAAGCCACAGTGGAAATGCAGTTAAATCCTGTTGACAGCAATAATAAAACATTGAGCATGCCTTGTTGCAGAGAACTTCATTATCACTTACAAATAAACAACAGTAACGAAAATGTAAGAAAAATGCTACCCGACAGTTTCTTTCTCCATACAAGTCGTTACATTTTGCCCTTGACATCAATGCTGACTACTGTCCTTGCTTGAGCCAAAACTAAATATTAAACGTAGCTTTCAGCTAACCAAGAGATCACTCTAGTTATGGCTGGGGTGTTTCAGTTTGCAGTATGACAAAGAACTAAGAAAATTAATAAATAAAGTATCGGTTCAGACAACAGAACACATGATTTATCTAAGGTCCAAGCCCTGAAAATCCAGTGAAGAAATCTGTCAGTATCCAATAAACTGCAAGAACATATCTAACATTGGATTTATTTTTTTAACATTGAAAATGGTGTCAAAGCTCTAAAGCGACGCTGATATGCACCTTGTTTTATGCCCATGAATGTTCTGCAGCAAGTTTTTGGGAATTTGTTTTTTTGTTTTTTGCAAAGCAGTATCAGCAAACAGAAGCAATTGCACCATAAACATGAGTAACCTCTAAATTATCCGTAATTATACTTAATGAAAAGTTCCTTGAAGTCCCTTAGTTACCTTCAAATGACATAGTGTTAATAATTAGCTTATCATACTAAGCTGATTTCTCAGCGGCTTCAGTCTCCTGTTCAGATAATTTCTCTTCTGACAGTACCGTCATCCACGGGGACACTGAGCGCGTGATGGTTTGTTTGGCCAGATTGTAGTGGTTTATGACCGTGTAAAATTTCCCTCGAGCGCTGGAGTCTTGTTCGGAGTAGTAGTTTTCCAACCCAGCTGGAATGCATTGATTATTCTGAAAAGAAAAATCCATCACTTAGATCACAGATACAGCCCCATAAACAACAAAAAATGTAACCTACTTTTGGTGTTTTTTCCTTTTCCTTTTAGTCTAATCCAACGTTCACTTTCTGTGAGTCAAGAGGCAACACACAGCAATTAGCTACAGTGTTGTCCTACTGTGTTTAAAATGTTCTTTCTGCAATCCTTAAACTGCTCATGCATCTGCCAGAAAGACCAACCTGGGTTTCTATGCCAGAATAATTAACATACAAGAAACAGCCTTGCCTGAAATTATTTTTTTGAAGTACTCAATCTCTACTTCCAGCCACACTTTGCTGGTTTTTCCTCCCCACCTAGTGCCAACTGTTTTGTCTACAATTACAGATGTCTGTATCCTACTGCAAGCTTCGCTTCAGGCACTTTAACACAACGTTTGCAGTCTGAGGGACAGAAATTAATACACATCTATTGGTGCTGAGGTGTGAAGAGTAAATAAGACATCCAGGGAAAACATTGTGGGTGGCCAAGCTCATGTGCAGGCATGTACACACAAACCACTTCGCTCGATTGTCAGAAAGATGCAGCCAACAGCGGGCTCTGAAGGAGCCATCTCTAGCTCTGGGATCACATTTCCCAGAAGCCTAAGAGCACTACACAGAAACTGCTGGATGCTCAGAGCTTTTCCAAGAGGAATTACCGCATTTAGAGGTAAACACTAAGCAGGATCCAAACACTGCTGTCCATCTTAAATAACAAAGTGAATGTGCATAAGGAAAAATAAAATAAAATACTTATATCCTGTGACCTCCCCCGCCCCAGCTTTGCTCCAGGTGACAGGTCACTCCACAGGTCCTCTGCTGTATCTGCCAGTACAGGCACTCTTGCCTGATACCTCAGAGTGCTGGGAACTCATCTGGGCAACTGAATTGACGCTCTAAAGCAGAAGCTGTAAGTAACTGCAGCTTCAGGAAAAATAAGTTTAATCACTTTTGCTCTGACACTTTGGAAAAGAAATAGGCTGTTCGGTTTTTCTGCTTGCAGTGCCAGAAAAACAAAATTTATAGCACCACACCACCACAACTTAGAACTGCTACTGTTCTCATAGACTGTGGCAAACAAAACTGAGTATTAGAAGTTTCTGAACACAAAAATACGTGGAAAAATGTTCTGATTTTTAGGACAAAATACTATGTAAAATGTGCCCACATATACTTTTGGGTTGACCTTTGTCCTTGCCAGGAAAAGGAGAGGTAGCATAAATAAGCCGCAGTATTGACAGTTTCAAATGGTTTCCATCATAAAACACAAAATGATTGTGAGAAGATTCAACAGGCGGTCTTCGCTTAATATATATTCAGCATCCTAAAATGTTATAGTGAAAAGAAGGCATCGAAAGGCATGAAAGAAAAAAAAGACAGACTTGCCAAAACAAGAGGCCTCAGGTAGTCTTGTGGACCTGCCTGCTGCCGATGGGTACAGCCTGGGGCAGACCTGGCTGCTGAAAGCAGAGCCGCTGTCGCAGGACTAACAGCCCTCCCGCGGAGTCACCGCCCCACCCGTTCTGCCCTGCTCGGGTGACAGAAGCCTTGCTGCATGTCAGACTCCAGCTGTGCTCAAAGTCACCACTTCCAGTTCAGTTCTTTTGTTAAGCAACAGCCAGGACAAACCTTCCCTCACAGATTCCTCCGAGGTAGCGCTACAAAGCAGACAGGGTTTAACCCTGGC